AGCAACTGGCCTCGTGAGACTGAACTTCGTCTGCCCCCTACCCATTGATCTTCCAGGGATGATTGAATCTGCGGCTGTGAGGAGCCATCCTGTATAGCTCACATTGTCATGGAGGTACACAAACCATTACACCACATCAAGGTGCAGTGCCGTGATGGACAGAGCCCTTCGCTAGAGTAGGTGTCTCGCGCCTTCCTCGTTGCGTTCCGAAAGATTTCGCAACTGGTTGTTTGGAGACACTGAAAGTCATGGCGCCGTATCTGTAAAGATTGGTGTTATATATATATATAATATATAATATATATATATATATGGCAGTAAACTGACAGCAATCGCGTTCTCTCTGTGGTTTCTTATGAGTTCAAAATGTTTAAAAAGATATGTATGCGCAGTGTTGACCATAGTGGTTCGCTTTCTTTTCCCTTCCTCAAAATAGGTCTACTCTCTGTTCAGCTTACATGTTATTACTGACTTTTTATGCGTTGCGAGTTTGACAGCGATCAGTGAGGTTCGCTTCACTGTATTATGCTGTACGATTATGATGATAACCTAATGAGCGAGCTTCATCGTTTCCTGATGTGCGAAGAAGTACCTCGAGAACAGACTCAGTGCGCTCAGGTGGCTTATACCAGTAGTATTACATACTCACAAGACTGCCGGGACCAGGTGAGTTGTTTATTATGAACAACGCTAAGACTATCGATAAATTGGCGTGCATACAACAAAACGTCTCATTTGGAACAGGTCGCCATAGTTCCCACAAGCATTAGATAATTAATGCAGCGGTCCTACGGTAGATGCGCATTTTCTGTATTCACAATCTGAACGCCGTGATTCGCTCTAGGAAGTCTTGTTCATTTTTGACTGTTGTGAGAAACTACCGATCACATCCTTTCGCTCAATACACTAATCACCAATGTGAGTACCGCCTCACAACAGTAAAATCCATAATCAGTGTCTTCGATCCACGACAACAGATATCAATTTCCAAAAAGTTCATTGTACGCACCTCAGTATGCTTGTGAATGGGTGTCTCGGATTGCAGCTAATCATCTCTCCCTTGCGTCTCGCGAAATGCTCCCAAACGACCAGCGGTCTCAGCTAGCCTATATTGAAGAAGCCCTACTCACTGCGTTCTCGTAACTCAGGTGTTTTCCCATCAAAGTGAGAGGACAGAAAGCCAACATCTGGGACTATAACCGGGTTGGTGAGCCATTGGTAATTCACCTAAGAGAATAGGCTGAAAATCCTGATTTAAAACCAACCAAGAGGAGGCGTACGAACCACGGACAAACCTTCATGATCGTGGCATTAGTCACCGGCTCGATTAAGCATCGAGGTGTATTGGGCATATTGGATGTTTGACTCCGTCCAATGGGCGTATAATCCACTGAACTGAACATCGGCCCGCAATAGATTGCGGTTTTCGCACACCGTCCCGCTGCCTTGCGGGTCAGGCTTTGGCTAGCCGAAGGCCCCGGTTGTGAACTCTATAAGAGAATACACCTGCTTTGGTCCGGAAGACCTAGCAGTATCGTGCCTTCAAACAAATCACGGACCTTTTTTAAAATTCTTATTAAGATTATTGTAGCGTGACTTGTTTGGCACAGAAGTGTGTAAAACTAATAATAATTCACTGTACGCACGAGACAAGCTTGTGGACTCACCTGCAATACAGTCCTCACGTTGAGCGCCCCCAGATTAAGCGATTGACGAGGCTTCTGAATCTGTAATTTATTTACCAGTAAACTACATATAGTACTATTTGGCCGCGAGCTTTGGCGAGTGACAAGCAAGTTGTCTGATGGAGTGTTATGGGTCGTAAGAAGGGGGAAAAGGAGAGGGTTGTGTACGGAATACAAAGAGTTAAACAAAGGATAGGATGTCTGAGCAGTAGCCCACTTCTCACTAGACACTGCTCGATGCAACGGGCAGCACGGTTCTGATTATCCTGCTCGACGACCGATGCAGTAAGGATTTACTTTCAGTTTGTGTATTCCCTCTTTTCACTGACCTACCTATGCAAATAGTTGAACAGTTATCGTAGTAGCCCTTCTTAGAGCAATTATGAAATAGAACAGTTCACTGGTCAAAGGTAATCTTAATCTGGATCCAACACACTCCTTGCTGTGTTTCAGCAATCCACTTCTATTTCATGAGCTTAATTAGTCACGGAGGACATAACTAATAACGGCGCAACTAATGCCGACCAACACTGGCCATAACGAATGTATCGATGAGTTTCAGAAATCACAGGCAACAACAGAAACGGACGAACTAGCGGGTGGATGCTTAAAGACACTATGGTAAACAACTTTCACCAGAAAAGCATGAATATTTGCGTACCGAATAATGGGAGCTTGGAATACTGGAAAGAGGTTAATGTACTACATGCACCCAGTAACAGATATTTCACTTGTTTTCAACAAATTTTTTTCTTGAATGAGATTTTGCTAACGACTGAGCAATAAATCATATAGTAAGATCTAGCCCGGATCGTCAATGGTGCCGAATGTTGTGATGTCATTGTAGAGTTAGATCATGGTGGACACCCTATTTACTCAATTCAGTGGTCACTCTTTCATTGCAACGGAATGGAACAATATTTAGATTTTGAACTCGGTTTTGAGTTAGAAAACTGTCCTAAGGGAAAGGTAAGTGGTTTCACTCGGATTAGCTGCTTAAAGTTAAGAAGGCGCTTCATTCCAAATGCACCGCTCTAATGTCAAGCTTAGAGTTTCATAAAAGATTGAAATTTTCTCGACATACAAAGACTACGTGATACTGTCTACTTGAATTTTTGCTTTAACTAAAAAGCAGATAATAATAAATAATGGGAACAGGTATGGGAATTAACGTAGTTCATCAATCCTGTATATTTTATTACGAATATGTCGATTGGTTTCTTTTATTACTTAAAAGTAGACACTATTGACTTATGTTCGGTGCGATATAGTAAGAGATTGACTGTAGTACCAGTTCGATCAATGCATACTTTTTATTGTTGAGGAGTGACGATAAAGTGGTTAAGATACTGACTTGAAAACAACTTGGAGGACCCCAAGTTCGAATCCCGTCACACTGTCCATAGCATCCTGTTCAACAGCGCCTCTCTTCCTGAAAGTTCATTGCCCATTTGCATACTCAATAGATAAAAAGGAAGTAAATTGTTATTGGTAACGAAATTGTTATTACCTTTATTATTAATATTACAAATCCACATCATAAAGATAGAAATTAAGACCAGAGCATTAAAATGGGAAGGGTTGATTTTCTGATCTTTACCAATGCGCGATCATTTTTGATTCGATCCATTCTTCGCTACGCTATAGAACTACAACAGGTAGAAATAAAGGACAATAGAAACTATCCGATTTTCTATGTATGCCTAAATCGCATTGCTCGAGCTTGCTGGAGTAAGAGTTGTAGGTAGTCGAATCGGGTCAGATGTGTTGCGCATATCATCCGTGATGTGAGAGACGCTTGTCACATCCGTCATCTTGATTTTGTTCCCCCGTTACGGCCTTGAAGTTACAATCTTTGGCTAAAGATTTAAGCTTCTGAAAGAATTGATCGAAAGTTTGTCCTGGTTCCTGTTTGCAGGTGGCCAGTAGATACCGGGCGAACACCTCATTTGACGATTTGATAAACAGTCTTTCCAGGGTTTTCACAGCATCATTGTACAATGTGCAATCCGCAACATGGTCATAGATACTTGGAGAAATATGATTGTACAGAAAATCCAGTTCCTCGGGATCCTGAACCCCAATTTTAGTAAGAAATCTGTCGAAAGTACAAAACCAGGAATTAGGGGTGTTCGGGTCCTTATCGAATCTTTTGGGTGGGAGGTAGCGTTCCATTTTCAGATAATTTGTATGTTGAATAAATTGATGTGAGAAACGCTTGTAGCAGCCGTTGAATAGGGAAAAGACAGAACCGATATATAGGCTTTATTCAACAATAAGATGAACAACAGGGGCTGAAAGGAATGAGGATGAAATTTAGAGGGACGAGTACAAAGTCATGAGAAACAACAAACAAGAGTTTAACACGTTTGTGAATAGTATTGTTTGATTGCGCAAAGGAATATGGTTTGCGGTTTCTCACAACCGTTAAAAATGAAAAAGACCTCCTAGAGCGAATTACTGTGTTGAAAAATAATATAACTACGAACTGTTCCATTCATTGTCCTGTATGTTGTTGGGAGTTTCGCTGACATGTTCCAAAGGAGACGTCTTGTTATATGTACCCCAATTTATCCGTACCTTAACTGTGGGTGGTAACAAACAGTTGTCCTCAAATCAGCACGGGTCTTAAGGTGGACGTTATAACCAGTGACTTTCGAATATCCACTCGATATCTACGTTGATCTTTATCTTCACTTTGATACTGCGCCCGGTTTCCTGTCTCTTCAATTCACTCCTTCGTCACTAGTCGACCAAATGTACATCTAATCACCATGGTGCAAGTGTTCCGGTAGATCGTGACTGATCATACGCTTTTGTGCACGAAAAACAAAAATGGTAGGGATTATTAGTACCACTGTACTATTTTACATCGTATACATAGTAGTGATTAGAGGCTATCATCCTAAATCACTGCCTTGTGTACCATAGTTTGACTGCTTTCCTTTTAATACCCGCCATTCTGTTCAAAAAGGTGGTGGAACTGGTCTAATTGGACGAGCACTGACTGCCACATTGCAATCGGCTGGTCATAAGGTGCAAATAGTTACAAGAAATCCAAAAGGAAAATCGGATATCAGTTGGGTAAGTCAAATGATTTAGTCTTTGTTGTTTGAACTCCATGTTCACTTGTTTATTTCACTTGTAGGAGACCGTGAAGAGTGTCGGACTCCCAGCAAACACAGATGTGATTATCAATGTGAACGGGAGAAGTATCGGTGAAATCAATCCGCTCTACTGCCTTCCAGGGTAGTCATATTACGCGGGGCAGGGTTTTTGCATACACCTGTTTTCTTCAGATCACGCAAGGCTTACATGAAAGACGTTTTTGCCAGCCGCATCGAAACGACCAAGTCGTTGGTCAAGGCTTGTGAAAAACTGAAATTAAAAGCTTTCATCAATGCGTCTGCTGTCGGTGAGCTATGAGACAACAAATACTATCACCGGTTTTTTCTTCAATGTTTTGACATGTTGGGTTTGTTTGTGTTGTACTACAAACAATCAAAATAGTTGTCAGGTTCTCACAAACCAACAATGCACTTATTGGCCTAGGGCAGCCGAAGGCGGTATCCTGAATGACTGGCTGTTTGGTTCATCATCATCACCTATCTGTTACTACCAGAAATACCGCCAGTCAGGTTTCACAATACTTGTCTTGGTAGCAGTGCAACCAGACAAATTCTACGCCATTTGGACGTGGTTTGCACGGCCATACTGCTAAGTACACTTTTTCACCCGATCAGGCTCATTAACTTCGTAACCAAGATGGAAACAGGTTGGCGCTCCTCAAAGCCAAGGGACCCTAGTTCCTCTAGCTGTTTGAGTCTTAGTAACTGGATTGTAGCGTAATCTTTTCGCCGTCCAACCACGAGACAGCTAATGTTTTAAGAGTGGCGCTTCGTGAAAGCCTCTCATAGGGCTGGAATTAGTCCAGTTTGCGTTCACATTTTCGAGTACTTCTACTAGTGAGATAATATTAAGCGCACGTACACCCGAGGAGTCGGCTTTACGACCATAGACCGTTGAAAACGTGACGCGCTATTGTGCAATAGATGTCTTTGCGAATGTATTCTCTTTGATGGCTCAAAATCGATTTGATATACTTCATGTATATCTTGTATTAGACCGTGAGGATACATGAGCACTTAAAAACTTACTTAATAGCACCTTTTTTCTGACCAAAAACCAACTAGAAGAAGAAGCGAGATACGGTGCTTCCACCGCGCGTTTGGTCCGGTCTTTTATCCACACCGGGCCTAAACAGCATAGCCGCAAATTTGGTGTTCAATCCGGCTTGGTCCTAATCACGATTAGCTATGCACCCAAATATCATCAGTTTGATTGTATTCTTCCTGAAAACCTAATCAACCGAACGAATGTGAAATGAATGGAAAATAATGATTCCACGGTTTACCATCAAACAAAACAAACTCGTTACTGTTCTCCCTGTGTTTTCCAATCCATGCTGGGCGATTTTTTCGGACCATATTTCAACAACCTTGGCGTAGCCTACCCTCGTACCTAACTGATTTTTTTTACCTTCTACCAAATTCATCTATCAGGATTGTTTTATCCGCTTTCCAAATTAAAACTGTTTCAGCAAGCAGCGTGGGAATGTGATGCAGTGCCTAGTACACCATTTCTCTCCGATCGCGAGCAGCATCGCCGATCCGATTTCCTGACCAGACTTGAGCAGTACGGCCAAGTAAAAGTAGTGGAACGCTAGTAGTTTTCGATTATAATCAATTTGTGATTGCTGCATCTGTGCACTCAAATTACCGCCAAAAATAGTCGACTGTCGACCGACTAACCAGACCCACAGTAACCTCAGAAATCATGGAGATTAGCTAACCTGATGCAATACTTCTGCCTGCGTGATCGCAAAATGTAACCGCCGAATAAGTTGCAAGGCTGTCGTGTACAATGCCACAGCTGAGCGTCACACATTGAAGGCATACAGAGTGGTGGTGGTGGCGCAATGGTTTAGTGGCTATCACAGGTGTGCTTTGAACCCTATGGTCCGAGGTTCGAGCACCGCCACCGAACTTTGGTGGTAGGTAGCTTTGCTGTCGTTCGGTCCAAAACCACGCCTAACCTATCGGGCCTTATGTGGTTCACCACTCCAAGTCCAGGGGCTTAGGTTATCGGTTTCCACCACTGAACAGCAGGTCCTCGTGACTATGGAGTTTACCCCGTCTGTTGTTCATCACACGAAAGTGTGTAATAAAAAAAAGATAACCGAAGAGCTGTCGATGTGGCTGCTAAAAGTAAATCTTCACGCACCAGCATCACGAATCCCTTGCCTCCTTTGGCTCATTAAGCTCACTTTTTGGTAGAGACTATCAGAATCCGACGTTCAAACAACTAGTATTTTTCACACACACGACTGTGTGTGCGCGCGCTGGATTGATGGTTGGTAAGTCATGCGAAGCGCTACTCGCAACCTGTGCGTGTCGTCGCCGTGTCCTATCTGTTGATTGCAATACATGAGTAGTAATCAAACAAATCAAGTCATCTGTATTTTAGATCTATCAGGTATGTGTCACATGAGAAGTATGGTGTAAAGAGTATTTGTTAAATAGTAAGGTTGCAAAAAATCTAAAACACAACGATCGTATAGTTTGCATGATGCGCATATGAAATGTTCACCAGCAAACACAGCACACAAACCCTCTGGTCTTCCATACGGAAACAGATTCCTCTGATCGTTTCCAGGCCGAAAGTTATGATGTGCTGCATGACCGTTCAACTTCTTGGCTCGCTAGCCACAGCATGACGGATATTTTCAATGTTTTTGTGATACACCGGCTTGGGTGGTGGTGCTGCAGTGGTCTAATCGCTGTCGCTGGTGCGTTCTTTGGATCCCATAGTCTGAGGTTTGAGCCCCTTCCCTGTAGCCGCACAACTTTGTTGGTAGGCAGCTTTGCTGTCGTCCGGTTTAATACCGCGCCTGACCAAGCGGGGCAATACAATGGTCACCACTACAAGTACCGTGGCTTAGAAAAAATTGTGCAGCAGCCATGCGTGACGAATCCACTCAAAATACATTGACACGACCAGAATTCATGTTGACCTAGACAATCATCTATGCCACAGGTAAGAAACATACGCACCAGACTATTGTTCACCCCCATTGCTGAGCCGCTTTTTGCTTAGAAAACACGATTTATTCAAGGCATTGTAAACCATTTCATGACCTAACTGTAATTTTAAGCATTTATTTTTTGCCTTGCGATGCCCTTTTCTTCCTTCTACATACACCAGTTCCAAAATCGCAATTACCCAGGGTCTAGAGCTGGCAAGTTCAGAGTTCAGCCAGAACAGTGCTAAGGTCCAGTTACTCATATGCAAGAGGACCAGAAAACTAGAATTATGGCTTCAGAGAGGATCTAAGAGGTTTTTTTCTACATCCTCGTGTGCCTTGACTTTCTCATCAGTTCTCGAATCATGCAAGGACCCCCACATCCTCGCCACCCAACTTATACAGGATAAAC